TGGTGGTGGTGGAAACAGGCCCATCAAATCCGTTCCAGAGCGTTCTGGAACGCTCTGAGAAGGCCGCGGTGCCGGATACATCCTCCAGAGCCGTCGGGTCTCAGAGCTTCCCGATTGATCCTCGTCCGATTGTATCCTCGTCCTGGCTTCGTCTCATGTGCGGGTCAGAGGAGCCCGACAGCGCCCAGCTGGCCCCCGACGTCGCGGTCGGCCGCGGCGTCGGTGGACGGATGATGTGGATGCGTTTCTGCCACTCGAGCGCGGTACGAGTCTCATAATGTCGTCCGCAGCCAACAGCGTTTCCCTTGGCAGCGATTGGCGAATTCATTCCTGAATCATATGTGTTGGCACGCCTGACCTATGATCAAATGATACAATTTAATGGTATCAACCCCTTCTCTTGCATGCGCGTTTCATTCCCGTAGTGTCTCACGCCCTCCGTCTCCGCTTGCGGAGCGAGGGGCTTCCGCGGGCTCCTCGACCCGACGGAATCCAAACTGGAACGATCGGGGCCGCGATCGGTTCAAGGTTGAACCATCGACGCGGTGTCAACAAAACTCTGCGCGCGCCGAAGCCGCACGCACCTGCCCTCAGCGTAGCACCGCACCGAGTCACGTCTCCGGCCCGGGCCCTCCCGCCGCGCTCTGGCGCAGACGGCCGCTGGAGGGGCCGGCGCGCTGGCGCGGCACGGGAGGGCCGCGCGCAGGCATGCTGGGCGGCACGCTCCTCTGGCTCCGGAACGACCTCCGCATCCTCGACCAGCCGCTCGTGGATGCAGTGGCCACGGGCGAGCGGGCCTGGATCTCACCTCTGGAGCACCGAAACAGGTACGGAAGGAATGGGTACGAAGACTGACATCAGTTCCTGTCCATTTTGAGCAGGACTTGCTGTCGGTGTCGCCGCGGACGTTGTGCATTTGAAACAGAAGGCCGCCTGCCCAACAGCGGCCGCTGTCGGTTCTTGTTGTTGGGCATCGTACCCATTTTTTCCGTACCCGTTTCGGGCGTTTGAAATGCCAGCTTGAGACATATTTCTATCCCTATCTCTGGCATCGCCTATTCCCCTCGGTGCCGATCTTCAGGATTCCCTCGGTTTCTGAGGGCGGCACCTGCCCAAGGCTGTCATTGCCGCGGGCTTGCCGATCTTAGGGATAGGGAGACGTTCGAGGCTGGTTAGGATCTACGTCTTCGACACGCGCTTCCTTTCCAGGGCCGTGCCCTTGCCCGGCGGCGTGGGCTCGGTGCCAAAGGCCTCGGCGCGGCGGGCGCGCTTCCTGCTGCAGAGCGTCCGCGACCTCTCGGGCCGCCTGCGGCGCGAGCTGGGGGCGGAGCTGCTGGTGCGCGTCGGCCCCCCCGAGGAGGCGCTCTGCGAGGCCGCGGGGCAGCTTGGCTGGGCGGCGTGGGACGTCTGCTGCCAGCGCGAGCTCGGGGGCGACGTTGGGGGGGGCGACCGGCTCCCGGGGGGAAGCAGCGGCCTGGAACCGGCGATGCATCGCCGATGGATTTGCGATGGGCCCCCGATGGCGAATCCGCACGTCCTGGGCGGGGCGGTCCATCGGACCCTCATCGGCGATCGATGGGCGATTGGGGATCGATGCGCTCTCCCCCTTGAGCCTGTCTCCCCCGAGCGTTGCCCTCGCGAGCTGGGCACCGAGGAGGAGGGGGTGCAGCGCCGGGTGGAGGCCAGGGCCGCGGCGAGCGGCGGGTCGCTGCGCGCATCCTGGGGGAGCCAGTTCCTGTACTGCCCCGACGTCGTGGCGGCTCAGCTCGGGACGGACCCAGGCTCTACCCTGGTCAACCCGCACCACTTCTGGCCAGACGGCGCGGATCCCGAGGCAGTCGTACCCATCTCGGGGGCTCGTAGAGGGTGGGCTGCATCCCATGGCGGGGTGATTGGAAACGAGCCTGGCCGGATGTGCTCATGATTTCCCCTTTCCAGGGGGCCGTTCAGAGCGATGTTCCCCTAACCCCACCTCTGCTGCGGCTCGGGCTGCGGCTGCGGCTGCGACTGGAGCTGCAGCTCGGGCTGCGGCTCGGGCTGTGGCTCGGGCTGCGGCTGCGGGTTGCGGCTGCGGGCTGCGGCTGCGGGCCGCGGCTGCGGCCTGCGGCCTGCACCACCCTGTACGCCCCCCCGGCCGTCGGGGCCGAGCGCGGGGCCACCCCCCCCTCCCAGCCCTTCGTGCGCGACCTGCCCGCCGGCGTCGCCGACCCCGCAGCGCTGCTCGCCCTGCCCGAGTGCGAGGCCCTCGTCCGCCTCGGGTACGCCCCGCAGGACGCCGGGGCGGCCTGCGCCCCGGAGCCCCGGGCGGCGCTGGACTTCTGGGGCGGCGAGGCGGCCGGCCTGGCGCGGCTGGAGGGCTGGGTCCAGGGCGGCGGGCTCTCTGGCTACTACGACAGCCGCTCAGGGGTGCTGGGCGCGGACTTCGGGGGCGGACAGAACCCCCACCCTGACACGTCGATCAGCGAATTGTCCGTTTCCGGTTCTCGAGAGGGTGCCGCGGCTGTCATTTTCCAGGCTTGCGCCCGCCAGGTTTTGGTCCGAGGTCGTTTTCACTAAACCACGTTTTACTAAAGGGGGGTCTGTCCATCCCCGAGGACTACTCGTCGAAGCTCTCTCCCTGGCTCGCGCTCGGCTGCCTGTCTCCGGTCAGGGTGTACAGGCGCATCCGGCGTGAGGGGCTGAGCGACTCCGTCAGGTGGCTGATCTCTGAGCTCGGCTGGCGAGACCTGTTCCGGTACCATCTGATCTACCACGGCTCTGCTGTCTTCAAGGTGGGTGGTCCTGCGGCGGCGCAGCGGGCCTGGCTTCGCGACAAGCGCCTCTTCGATGCGTGGCGCCTCGGGGAGACGGGCATACACTACGTCGACGCGCACATGCGGGAACTGGCCGCCTCAGGATTCATGTCCAACACAGGGCGGCAGCTGGTGGCGTCCTTCCTGTCCTGCTGCCTCGGCATGGACTGGAGGCTCGGGGCCATGTGGTTCGAAGCGACCCTGCTCGACCACGACGTAGCCATAAACTACGGGAACTGGAACCGTGAGGCGCACGTTCGCTGGGCCGGGCGCCGCTCGGTGCCGGCCGAGGCCGACCTGCAGGGCGAGGAGCGCTCGCACCTGCTGGCCAGGCTGGCGGGGGCCGCGCGGGGCGGCACGGGCGCCTACGACACGGCGGAGTTTGTGCGGCGGTGGGTGCCGGAGCTGAGGGGCGCTGCGGGCGGTGGCCTCGTGTGCAGGGCCGCTCCGCGGCCCGTGCTCGAGGTCCTGTGCTGGAGCTGCTCCGCGCTTGAGAGGGCGTCGGCGCTGGTGGGCGGGAAGCTGCTGTGTCCCGCCTGCCGGGGCGCCTGCTCGTGGTGCGGCACGCCGAGCGGCTCCGCGGCACGGGCGGGCTCCAAGAGGAGGTGGTGCTGCGGCGAGTGCTCCCCTCGCCCGCTGAGGGGGGTCAGCTCCGTGGGGGTGAGGAAGAGGTAAGCTCGATTCCTTGGGCCTTCCTTGTTCGGGGCCGTACTTGTCTCAACGAGTAGTTCTTCCTTGGGTTTTGCTCGGTCGTTCCTATGGGACTTTCTCGCCCAGGCCAGATTCTTCTCAGATGATGTTTGTTTTCCTGAGCTTGCCCTTCGCTGACTCTGACCCCCCAAAGTCTGACCCCCATTAGCAGGCGAATGAGGTGGTACTGTGGCGAGTGCTGGGGCGCCTGGAGCGCGTCTGGCGGCTCCCAGGCGTGCGAGTCGTGAGTAGCGGAGCGCGGCACGGAGCGGCCTTCGCAAGGAGGGCTGGGCACCGCCACCAGCGGTGCCGAGCCCAGCGATGGGCGAGTCTGCCGGCAAAAACGAGCCTTTGGACGCGGTCACGCTCGGGACCTCCCGCCGCGGTGGAGTGCACCCAGGGGTGCCCTGCATGAGCTGTTCACGCCAGGTGTTGGAGTTTTCTGCCGGAAGTGCTGGAAGTGCTGCGCTTCCCAGCACACCCAGGAGCTTCTCGTTGCCAAGCTCTGCCGGCCCTTTGCCGAGCAGGTATACCGGAGGGCCGCCCACGGTACATGAAGGCGGGGCGAGGCACTCTTTTGAGGTCATGGCCGCGGTCTCCATCCCACAGCGGGTGGGGGCACGCGCAGGGTGGTGTCCAGGCGGCCTGCGGATAACTGGCACCTCTCGGCCGATTGCTGGCGCACGTTGTTCCGCGGCAGGGCGACCCCGCCGGTTTTGCCGTGACGGCCTCCCGACGGACCGTCGCCGAGCCGAGCGCTGTGGCAAGCGCGTGCCTTCAGGGGGGTCCCCGGCGCACGTCTCGAGCAGCGGCCCTGCAGGGGAGCCCGGGCGAACCAGCAACCCCCCTCGTCCTCTCTCCTCGCCTCCTTCCTCCTCCTTGCTGCCTTCGCGGGCCCCTCTTCCCGCCCGCCCTTCGCAGGGGGCACCTCTACACACCACAGGCGCGCCCAGCCAGGGCCATCCTGGGCGCCAAGACGGTGCACAGACCTTGCTGCCCTCGGCCAGGAGGGCGCAGGCGCCGTGCTGGAGCCCAGGATGCACCCGCCTCCCCCCCCTGCGCGGAGAGCGGGCACTCGGGGGGCCGATGGAGCTCTGCCCGCCGTGCTCTCCCTCGATCGGTGCTGGTGCTCATTCTGTCTCGCCTCCCACCCACCAGGGTCGTCGTCGTCGTCTTCGTCGTCGTCGTCGTCGTTCTCGTCGTCGTCGTCGTCGTCGTCGTCGTCGTCGTCGTCGTCGTGTCGTCGTCGTCGTCGTCGTCGTCGTCGTCGTCGTCGTCGTCGTCGTCGTCGTCGTCGTTGTCGACGTTCTCGTCGTCGGCGTCGTCGTCGTCGCCGTGTGCCAGGTGCCCTCGCAGGCTGGCCGCGCCGACGGCGCAGTGGCGGCCGAGCACAGCGCCGCCGCGACGCGCGACGAGGTGCTGCGCAACAGGCGGGGTGGTCCAGAGCCCCGCCGGGTTGTCGAAGGGGTTATCCAGGGTAGGTTGTTGTGTCGTCGTTACTCTGGCTTTCTCAAACAGCGTGGGGTGGGGACCCCCCCGACGGGAGTCAACCTCGCCTCGTCGTCGCACCGCGACGGGGGTCGGAGCGCCTTTGACGCGCGGTGGCTGCCCGCGACGGGGGTTCGATGTGGGGCTGTCGGCCGGGGTGACGCCACCCCGACGCTTACTAGGAAACTCGGAGTAGGTTGTTTTGTCGTCGTTAGTCATCATGGGTTGTCCAGGTTGTCCGGGGGGTTGCCCGGGATTTTTTTGATTGGAGTATTGTTTTGTTGAACATCTTAGGGGGGGTATCGAAGGAAGAAGCACATGGACCCCCTCCTCCTCCTCCTCCTCCTCCTCCTCCTCCTCCTCCTCCTCCTCCTCGCTCCTCCTCCTCCTCCTCCGCAGCGAAGGCTCGGGGAGTTCAGGCCGCGCAAACGGTGCCTCGGTGCCCGCGTGGCGTTTGCTCCCCTTGCCAGTGGTGCGGGGCCCACGTGGGCCTCTGCTTCAACTAGTCTTATGATGTTCCAATCTACTTTCGCCTTGATCTCCAGAAAGAATTTTGGGCACCAGAAACAAATACTGAAACTCGAGGGTTTTCGCGTGTCGGGCCCTGGGGACACTGGTCCGACATTGTTTTGACTCTGTTTCGACACTCTTTCGACACTTTTCCGGGTGCTCGAAATTGTTTCTGGGATGTGGTCCTTAAGTACGATGGGAGCAACATTGAATTAGACGTTCTTGAACGTTCCTCCTCCTCCTCCTCCTGTCGACGACGATCTTGTGCATGGTCCATGTCGACCGTCGCCGATTTGCGAGGATGGTCCGCGAATGGACGCCGACCAAGGTCGGCGGTGACCAAGATCGACACGACGTTTCCGCGTCCAGTCATGGTCGTGGTCTCCGTTTTTTGTTGTTGTTTTTCCTCCAGGGTAGCCTCAGGTGGGGAAGCACCGACCCCAACTCGCCCACTCATCGCCGATGGGGGCCCAACAGCCCGCCCCGCCCAGGAGCGTGCGGATTTGCCACGGGGCGCCTGTCGCCGATCTGTCGGCGATGTGTCGCCGATTCCAGCTAGCACGTTGTGCCTCATGCTTGCGTTCAACATCTCCTGCCCCTGGCCAGGCCCATCATGGGACATAGGCTGGTGTGTACGAGAATGCACATTTTATACCCTCACCATCGGTAGTTCCGATGCCGTGCCGAGCCCATATTTGTCCCCCCTGCGTGCGCTCCGTCCGGCGGCGAGCTTCACATGGACTGGCAAGCAGCGGATCTCTCCTGAAGCAGGGGCCGCTTTCCCCGCTGGGGAATGGGAGGGTCTATAGTCTATATATACATTGCATAGGGCAAGGGCCCAGGATGAGCCTTACCATGGTATGTGATGATGATCTACGTTTTCTGCCTCCCCTTCCTCCTTTTCCTCCTCTCCTCCTCCTCCCCTTCCTCTCCGTCCGCCTCCCTCGTTCCTCCTCTTCTTCCCTGTCTTCTCTCCCTGGCCGTTCCTCCTTTTTCTCATGCCCCCTCCTCTCGCGCTCCTCTTTCTGGTTGTCCTGCACCTTCGCCCGTCGTCCTCTCCCCTTGCCTCCTCGTATCTCCTCCTCCGCCTTTCCCTCCCGCCGCATCTTCCTCCTCTCACCCGGAGGCTGCTTTGCCCGTCGTCCTCTCCCCTTGCCTCCTCGTATCTCCTCCTCCGCGTTTCCCTCCCGCCGCGTCTTTCTCCTCTCACCCGGAGGCTGCCAGCGTTGCAGGCGGTCACTGACGCCATCTCCAACCTGTCCCAGCCGGAGCTCGGCGGGTGCGGGCACGGCGCCAAAGCCAGCAGCTATGATATTCGTCCTTCCCTCACTGGAGGAGGAGGACGGGGAGGACCAGAGGACAGCGTGACAGTGCTCAGGAGCAGGAGGAGGAGGAGGAGGAGGAGGAGGAGGAGGAGGAGGAGGAGGAGGAGGAGGAGCAGGAGGAAGCAGGGAGGAGGAAGGAGGAATGAAGAAGGAGAACGGAGTAAGGAGGACGGAGGAAGGAGGAAGGAAGGGAAGAGGGAAAAGGGAGGAGGGAGTAGGGAGGAGGGAGGAGGAGGAGGGAGGGGGAGGAGGGAGGGGAGGGAGGAGAGGAGGGAGGAGGGAGGAGGGAGGAGGAGGAGGGGGAGGAGGAGGAGGAGGGGGGAGGGAGGAGGGGAGGAGGGAGGAGGGAGGAGGGAGGAGGGGAGGAGGGGGGAGGGAGGAGGAGGAGGAGGAGGGAGGAGGGAGGAGGAGGAAGGAGGAGGAGAGGAGATGAGGGATGAGGGAGGAGGGAGGACGGAGGAGGGGGAGGAAGAAGAGAGGAGGGGGAGGGAGGAGGGAGGAGAGGGAGGGGGAGGGAGGAGAGAGGAGGAGGGAGGAGGGAGGAGGGGAGGAGGGGAGGGAGGAGGAGGGAGGGAGAAGAGGGAGGAGGGAGGAGGAGAGGAGGAGGGAGGAGGGATGATGATGATGCTGATGATGCTGATGATGATGACGATGTTGATGCTGCTGATGATGATGATGATGATGATGACGATGCTGACGATGACGATGATACCGATGATGCTGATGCTGATGCTGACGATGATGATGCTGATGATCATGATGCTGATGATGATGAGGATGCTGACGGCGATGGTGGTGTGAGGATGATTATGCTGGCGATGATGATGCTGATGCTGATGCTGTTGCTGATGATGATGCTGCTGCTGCTGGTGATGATACTGACGATGCTGATCATGATGATGATTATGATGCTGCTGCTGCTGATGATGCTAAGGATGCTGATGTTGATGACGATACAGATGATGATGGTGATGCTGATGCTGCTGCTGATGATGAGGATGATGATGCTGATGATGATGACGATGATGCTGCTGATGCTGATGATGATAATAACGCTGACTATGATGATGCTGATGATGTTGATGCTGCTGCTGATGATGCTGACGATGCTGATACTGATGCTGCTGATGATGCTGACGATGATACGGCTGCTGCTGATGATGCTGTTGATGATGCTGCTGATGATGACGATTGTGCTGATGATGATGGTACTGATGATGACGATGATGATGATGCTGCTGCTGGGGACGATGATGATGCTGACGCTGATGATGTTGATGATGATACTGATGATGATGCTGATGATGATGATGTTGATGATGATGATGATGATGATGATGATGATGATGATGCGGGCGATGAGGCTGCTGATGCTGATGCTGATGATGTCGATGCTGCTGCTGATGACGATGGTGATGATGGTGCTGATGATGCTGATGGTGATGATGCTGCTGATGATGATGCTGATGGTGATGACGACGACGATGATGATGATGATGCTTATGCTGATGATGATGATGACGATGATGATGATGATGACGACGATGATGATGATGATGTTGATGATGATACTGATGATGATACTGATGATGATGATGATGATGATGATGATGATGATGATGATGATGATGATGATGATGATGATGATGATGATGCTGATGATGACGATGCGGCTGCTGATGATGATGACGATGCTGATGCGGATGCTGATGCTGATTATGATCATGAGGAGGAGGATGAGGGGGATGATGAGGAGGATACATCGGAGGATGAGGGCGAGGAGGAGGAGGATGAGGGAGATGAGCTGGAGGAGGAGGAGGATGAGGAGGATCAAGAGAGGAAGACGATGAGGAAGAGGAGGACGAGGAGGAAGCTGAGGACGATCATGATGATGATGATGATGATGCTGATGATGATGATGATGATGATGATGATGATGATGATGATGATGATGCTGATGATGATGATGATGATGATGGTGATGATGATGATGATGCTGCTGATGATGATGCTGATGCTGATGATGATGATGCTGATGATGATGATGATGATGATGATGATGATGATGATGATGATGAGGATGCTGATGATGCTGCTGCTGCTGATGATGATGATGATGGTGGTGATGATGATGATGTTGATGATGATGCTGCTGCTGCTGCTGCTGATGATGATGATGATGATGATGATGATGATGATGATGATGCTGATGATATGAGAGGGGGAGGGGGAGGCGCAGGAGAGATGATCGAGGAGAGCCTCGAGAGGAGAGGAGAGAGGAGAGATGATAGAGGAGAGAGGAGCGAAGAGAGAGGAGAGAGGAGAGAAGAGAAAAGAGAGAGGAACGAGACGAGAGGAGAGAAACCACAGGAGAGAAGAGAGAGGAGGGCGGGGAGAGGAGATGGGAGAGAGAGGCGAGAGAAGCGAGAGGAGGGAGAGAGAGAGAGAGAGAGAGAGGACAGAGAGGGGATGGAGGACGGAGAGGAGAGAGGAGAGAGGACAGATGAGAAAGGAGAGAGGAGGGTGGAGAGAGGAGAGACGAGAGAGGAGAGAGGATAAAAGCGAGAGGAGAGGCGAGATGAGGGAAGAGGGATGAGAGAAGAGAGGAGCAAGGAGAAAGGATAGAGGAGAGAGGAGAGAGGAGAGAGGAGAGAAACGGAAGGAGAGAGGGAAGAGGAGGAGGAGGAGGAGGAAGAGACGTAGGAGGAGGAGGAGGCGGAGGAGGAGGAGGCGGAGGATGATCAGGAGGTGGAGAAGGAGGAGGAGGAGGAGGAGGAGAGGAGCAGGAGGACGAGGAGGAGGAACATAGGGCGGAGGTGCAGGCGGCGGCGGAGGAGGAGGAGGAGGAGGAGGAGGGGGAGGACAAAGAGGAGGAGGAAGTGGAGGAGGAGGAGGAGGCGAAGTAAGAGGAGGAGGAGGAGGAGGAGGAAACGAAGGCGGAGGAGGAGGAGAAGAGGAGGAGGAAAAGAAGGCGGAGGCGCAGGCGTCGGCGGCGTCGGCGGAGGATAAGGAGGAGGGGGGGGCGAGGAGGAGAGGAGGAGGAGGAGGAGGAGGAGGAGGAGGAGGAGGAGGAGGAGGAGGAGGGGGAGGAAGAGGGGGAGGAGGAGGGGGAGGAGGAGGAGGAGGAGGAGGAGGAGGAGGAGGAGGAGGAGGAGGAGGAAGAGAAGAGTATTGTCACATGTACAGTCCCAGAAAGTGTCCAGCCAGAGCTGCGTTTTTGAAAAGGATCAGCCCTCCACCCGTGTAAGAGTTGCACGATCTTCAAAGTTTATGCCTGAAGCTCGGGGGCGTCTCAAGCTAGCGCCCCACTGTAAAAAAGAACCGCCTTCAATCCAACGGCGGTCAGCGTCACCGCGGCCGCGTCGTTTGCGCCAGACTAGCTGGCCGCTCTGCGCGCGAGCCTGCGCGCGCTAGCGCGGCCGCAGCGATGCACCAGCCAGCGCCAAACAGCCATCGCAATCGCCGCCGCATGGGTTTTTGCAAATCACGTTTTGAGTGGCTGGGTGCTATGATTGCGTGAGCACGGGAGGTGGTCGCGCGTAAGGAAATCGCAGTCAAGTGCACCAGATCGACTAAACCACAAATGATCTTTTGTTTTTTTAAAAGGAATTCGGATCTACCGCCCCTCTGAGGCTGGGACTATCCGCGCCCTCTGGGGATGTGCAGTTTGCATACTAGTTTGCCCCGTCCTTCATATGAAATATCAGCCCAGCCAGGCCAGTATTGACACCCTCCCTCGTCCCTTGCAAACAAATGTGCGCGCAGTTCTTCATCTTCACAAATCCTTTTGTAAGAACCGTGGCCCTCCCCAAAAAACAAGCCGACGAAGTGCATGCGCGCGCGTCGTCGCGCGCGCATCCCGGAACTCCTCAAACAAATCTTATGGTTTTGTGAGGATTTAAAAATCGAGTTTCCCGAACACATATTCAAGAAACAGTGGTTTCGAACAGGAATTCGCAGCACATCTTAGATTCCAACATGTTTCATCACGTGCGACCAAACGTGCCCTTCGCGCGCGCATGTCGAAGTCATTCGAAGACCTTTTTGCGCGTGTTGTCGCAAGGACAAGTTGCGGAAAATGAAATGAAATGCGGGCGCGCGTCGTCGTGGCGAGGCAGTACGCCCGCAGGCCGCTGGCTGCGCGCAGGGCCATCCACAACGCGAGTATTCCGGAGGGCGTGCCAGCAGTCGAGGGATTTTTCTCTGAATGGTGCAAGCGTTGCAACGAAGCGGTAGGATCGCCGCTTTCCTGCCCGCTGGCCGCCGGGGCCTCGGTTGCGCATGATGGAAGGTCGAATCGCCGCGCCCTCCTTTCCCGCCCTTCGCCCGACGGCTTCGGCGCGAGCGCGGCCTCCGCCTGCGCCGCCATCGCGCTGGTGGCGGGGTCCTGGGGGCGCGGCATGGGCGGCGGCGCCGGAGCAACTCAGTGCGCTGCTGTGGCCTGCCGACGCACAGGGAGAGATTGCATTTCGAGCTCGCGAGCTCGAGGGGCGGTCGGGGCCGTCGTCGAGTATGCTGTTTCGTATGCGAACCCATGGGCCGCGCCCAGTGAAGGGCCGCGGCGAGCCCTCGACGGCGTCGCAGTAATGGGCCCGCCCGAGTGTTGGCGCTTGGCGCTTCGCCACGACGGCGCGCCTGGGCGCGGCGTTTGTGTTGGCTGTGCTCGTGTAGTGCCGTGCTGGGCATCCGCAGTGCGTTGATTGTTGCGCTTCTCAAAGTACGTCCTGGGGCGAGATTCTCCCTTTCCCATCGGCTCGGAGGACCTCCAGATTGCCCGTGCGCTGTTCCGCGTGAGCGGCGCGTTATCAAATTGCTGCGGGCATTGGCGAGAGGCGTCCGAGCTGTTGTCGGTGTCGACGGCTGCCTTCGGCGAGCGCCCCGTGAAGCGCGCGCGCGATTGGGCGTCGCGAAGAGGCGCCCAGCGTTTGCAAGAGTCGCGCGATTCTTGCAGCGCGGCCTCCTTTCCAGAGTGGTCGGGGCGAGCATTTCGGGCGCGGCGGTCGCGTCGGTCAGAGGGGGCGTGGCGATGCTCGTGTTTTTTCGGGGGTGCGTTTCTGCTGCGTCTGCCAAGTGGTGGCTTGCCCGCTGTCTTCGATGGATCGGCATTTTACGAGCAGCACCGGGCATCAGTGCGCCTCTCAGCAGAGGCGTTCGGTTTGCGTTTGCAGCAGCGCAAGAACTCATGGCGGCGCGTCGCAACGTGGCGCAAGTGCTCGTGGCGCACTGCGGGCGGCAAGGGCGCGTGCCCAGTGCGCGTCCTCGATTCGTTCTTTCGAGGGTGCGGGCGAGGGCGCGCAGGCTTTCGCGAGCTTCTTTCCTGCTGACGCCGTGGCCGCCGTCCAGATTGCGGTCGGGGCGGTTCGCGCAGACCGCCCAGAGGAATTCGACGCTGCAGGGCCTCGGGCATGCGCTCGATATAGTTGAGCGTTGTGCCGGCCTGGTCGAGAGGTTTCGCGCGGCCGATATGGCGGGGCGCTGCCTTCATGGAGCGTTTGTTGTCGAGCCCCCCGAGCGGGGCGCTGTTCTCGAGGCCTGAGACAAATTAGTTTCCGACAGCGGTGCGCGAGGAGCAGGGGCCGGGCCCCGTGCCGGGTGGGGCGCGCGCGCTGACGCCCCGGCGGCGCGTGGCGCATTGGATCTGCGCCTCCGCGCGCGTGGCGCGCGCGGTTCGGCCTCCCGCCGAGTGCCGAGCGCTCCGCGACAGTGGGCGTTCGCCGGCGCTCGGTCAGGCTGGCGACGCAGCTAGTGCCAGAGCCGCGGTCGCCTCGGGGCACTGCTGCGCGCGGTCAGGGTCGGGCGCCGCGCCGGTCGTCGCGATGCGGCGCGTCGAGCCGTTTGGCGCGCGCGCCATGGTTTTGTGGTGGGTGATTATCGTGCAACGTTGATCGCGGGCGCGATTCGGCGGGGCGGGCGCCCCCGCCCCGCCCCCCGAGCATGGGCGGCAGGGCGGGGGCCGCCGCGCGACGCGCGGTGGCTCGGAGCGACGCGGGCCCGAGCGATGGGCGCGAGGCTTCGCGCTGTCCGCCTTGCTTGCGTGGGCGAGCGCGCGGGCTGGGCGCGCGCGCCGCCCGGGGTTGGGGGGGCGCCGCGCGCGCTCGGCTGGGCGAGTGATCCGCCGCGCTCGGCTAGGGGCACCTGCGGTGCGGCTTCTGCGCGCCCGCCGCTCCCTCGGCGGCCGTTCGGCTCGGGGCGTTCGCGCTGGGCGTTCGGCTGGGCTGGCGACGCAGGCTGGTGCCGGAGCCGCAGTGGGCTCAGGGCACTGCTGCGGTCGGCCAGGGTCGCGCGGCGCGCCCATCGTCGCGGCGCGATGCGCCGGGCCGTTTGGCGTCCGCGATTTGGCTTGTCGGGGGGCCCGCGTGCTTTTTACGCCTGTTCCGTTCTGGTCAGTGATGGTGCTGCGTGGTTTCGCGGTTGTCCCGATTTGGGGCGTCAGGGCCCTGCGTGTTTTCATGCTTGTCCCGCTCCGGGGCGTGGGGGGCCCGCGTGTTTTCATGCTTGCCCCGCTCTGGGGCGTCAGGGGCCCGCGTGTGTTCGCGCCAGTCCCGCTCGTAGGGCCCTGCGTTTTCACGCTTGTCCCGCTTTGGGGCGTCAGGGGCCCGCGCGTGTTCGCGCTTGTCCCGTTCTGGAGCGTTAGGGCGTTCGGAACCAATGTGTTTTCGCGCTTGTCCCGCTCTGGGGCCGAAATGGCCCGTGTGTTCTCGCGATTGTCCCGTTTTGGAGCGTCAGGAACCAGGCGCTTGTCCCCCTCTGGAGCGTTTGAACCCATGTGTGTTCATGTTTGTTCAGCCCTGGGGCGTTAAGGGCCTCCGTGTTTACGCGCGCTTTCGCATTCCCAAAGCACCTGGGTATCCTGGGGCGTCCAAGCCCCTCAAGTTTTGCAAAACAAGCGTTGCGCTCGATACATCCTCGACGTTGTTTCACGCAGGACGCGCCATTCTCGAACGGGCGCACAACAAGTCAACATTTTTACAATTTATATGCAAACTTGTTGGGCCTCCCAAGCATGGTTATTTAATCGCTTCGCTCATTCCGCCGGCCCATACAGTCTCATGTCTGTCGTTTGCCCGAGGGCCTGGTGTCAATGCGGCGCTTTGGGGGTTCCTGGGGCCGCTTGGGGGACTCCTGGGGCGCTCGGGGGGGCATTTGGGGGGCCTCCTGGGGCCGCTTGGGGGACTCTTGGGGGCCTCCTGAGGGCCCCGTGGGGGCCTCTTGGGGCCTCTTAGGGGCCTCGTAGGGGCTTCTTAGGGCCGAGGGCTCGAAATGTTGTTTCGTGTTCCCTCTCTGGGGCCCCTTTGGGGGCGTTCTTGGGGCCCTCTTGGACCGTTTTGGAGGCTTCTTGGGCCGTCTTCGAGCCCTCTTGGGCCATCTTGGGGCCCTCTTGGGTGCCTCTTGGGCCCTCTTGGGGCGATCTTGGGGGCCTCTTGGGCCGTCTTGGGGCGTCGGGAAGCCGAAAAGGTGGAAGCTCCAAAATCTCTCAAAAACCCATGGAAAAACAATGATTTTTGCCTCCGGGGGCCCTATTGGGAGTGCTCTTGGAGGCCTCTTGGGGCGTCTGGGGGCTATCTTGGGCGTCTTGGAGCGATCTTGTGGCATGTCGGACCCCTCGTGTACCATCTTGGGGGCCTCTTGGGGGCCTCTTGGCCTTTCTTGGGGCTCTCGGGGACGTCTCGGAGCCCTGTTGGTGCGCTCATGGAGCGCTCGGGGGGACCCGGCCGGGACCCGGCCGGGACCCGGCCGGGACCCGGCCGGGGACCGGCCGGGACCTGGTCGGGGTACTTTTCGTCCGGGGACCCCCAGGGGCCGCCCCGCGCGCGCGAACTAGAAAATTGTTAACCAGTTACCGGAGATCTTAGCACGCCTCTGGCCCGTTGGGCCGGCGAATTCATCGAGGATTCTGCGCGTGACGTTTTGCATTGTCGTTTCACGAAGGCAAGCAGAGGGGCTGCGGACCCCGATATTTATGGAGGATCCGGCATGGGCACAGCTGAACATTACAGTGTTTCCAATCGAGCGGAAATCTGCCCGTCCTTTTCGAACGTGGCACCGGGGACAAGTTTACGACGACCTGAAGGAGAACCCATGGCCACAACGGTTCTGGGAAAAACTTCCGCCGTTTTTAGTTGTCACAGCGTGAGGATGTCAGTGTCGTCGTCGTCGTCGTCGTCATCGTCGTCGCCGCCGTCGTCGTGGCCGTCGTCGTTGTCGTCGTCGTCGTCGTCGTCGTCGTCGTCGTCGTCGCCGTCGCCGCCGTCGTCGTCGTCGTTGTCGTCGTCGTCGTCGTCGTCCTGCTTCCCCTCCGCCCGAGGAGCGCGGCCGACTGCTGCTCCCCAGCGGCTTCGCGGCGATGTTGGACCTGTGCGACGCCGTGCGGGAGCGCGCCGCTCGCGGGCCGCCGGGTGCCGGCCGGCGGGGCACGGCGGCGCGCAGGGTGGGGGGGCTTAGACCTGATCGTTCGGCTTGATTCAAGATCAGGAGGGAAAAAATATACACAGACACAATTCATCGTCGACTCCCCGGAAAATGTAGGAAAACATGGGAAGTGGGGGGGAAGACAGAAACCCAGAAAATATTGGAAAATATGGGGAATCCTTTTACTTGTGTGTATTTATTTGTGTGTCCTAGGGCCCCTTCACAAGAGGCTCACGCCGCCGACCCCCATCGGGTATAGCCAGGACCCCAGGTTAGGGGACTCGGTTACTGGTAGGGCCCAGAGCCCCTAAATTGGCCAGAGTCACTAAACCAGGTCTGCCGTAACTGGTGTTTTTTTCGGGTGACGGCAATTCCGGTTAGTGGAACGGGCGGGGGGGTCGTCCCCCAGTACACACTATTAAACCAGGTCCCGCTAAACCCAGTTCTGTCAGCGCCCGACCCCAGAAGAGGCTCACGCCCTTCCGCCGACTCCCAGAAGAGGCTCGGCGGCGAGCGAGGGGGGGAAGTGAGAAGGAAAAGGCCTTCTCAGAAGGCTCGGAAGTCCCCTGGCCTTCTGAGGAGTTTTCTAAGCCTTCCCCGAAGACAAACAAAACTTTCTCAGAAGGCGCGAGGGTTTCTGAGAAGTCCCGCCGCCTTCTGAGAAGGCCTTCTCCTTCTCACTTCCCCCGCTCGCTCGCCGCCAAGAGGCGTGGAGTCCTCGGTTGAGGCGTCATGGGCTTTTTGGGCACTATGTGGGGATTCTTATATGCGTCTTGGGAGCTGTTGGGGGGCCTGGCGGGGCATCCTGGAGGCAGTTTTGAAGCGTGTTGGGGGACGCCGTAAGGCCTCTTTTGGGCCTCTTGGGGGCCTCTTGGGGCTTATTGGGAGCCTCTTTTAATAGATTCCGGCCGGCTCGTTCCGATTCGAGTCCGCGGCCCGATGATTGCATGGCGCTGATGTGCGTCCTGGCGCATCCGTTCCGATTCGATGCCGACTCCGTGCCGATTCAGCCCGATCCGACGCACATTCCTATTCGATCCGACTTCCCGATTCGATGCTGACTGCTTCTGCTGGGTGGCTCAGGGGCCCTCCCTGAGGTTTCCAGGGCGAGGTGTGCGCAGACCCACGCGCGTCCTGAGCAGTCACGAAGGGAGGTTCTCGGTACTTCGCGGCCCCAGGGGGCCCTCGCCCGGCCCCGCGATTGTCAAAGACGATCGGCACACGAAACAGGAGGGGGATTCAGAGCTGCGCGCATGGAAACGTTGCAAATGGGCCGCCACCAGGAAAACGCAACAACCAGGGGCAGCAGGATCAGTGGACTGCATGGGCGGCCTCCAGGACATCGCAACAACCAGAGCCAGCGGCGACGGGGTCCTCACGAGCGGCCACCAGGACATCGAAGCAACCAGTGCCAGCGGGGCCCAGACCCCATGGGCGGCCGCCAGGACATCACAACATCTAACGCCAATGTCCTCCCGAACCAGATAGGAGCCCCTGGATGCCAGACTCTTGCTTGGGGAAGCTAGAGCAAGACGTGCCCCCCAAACTGTGGCAGCATAGCCCTAAGCCATGCCCCGCCCGCAGCTTCTCAGCACCAGAGGTGGGCCTGTGTGAGAGATGGCCTCTCTTTGCGGTCGCGGACCGGCCCTCGGCTCCCTCCCTCCCCCCCGCAGGAGGTCGGCGACGTGTCGTCTATGCTGGGCGCGGCGCTCGGCGAGGAGGGCGAGGAGGGCGAGGAAGACGAGCATGAGTAAGAGGAGGAGGAGGAGGAGGAGGAGGAGGAGGAGGAGGAGGAGGAGGAGGGAAACTTTGGAACAGGACTGACGTAGGATGAAGCACCAGTTATGGGGTCTCTCTGGCAGCCCAGCGGTCTCTGCAAGCGTGTAGCGGCCTGGTCCAGGCCAGCGCGTTTCGATTGCGAGGGCGCCTGGCAACGAAGGGCAACGATCTCTGATGCAGTGTACGTGCACATTGTATCTTCCGGCTATCCTCCCCCCTGCTCCCCCTCCCCACCTGAGCACTGAGCTCACGCGGAGTGGAGCAGGGGAGCCGCGCTGCCCAGAAGTCGGCATCACAGTCGGTTCTCGCCGGCGGGCGCCTCGAGTCGAAGAAGAACCTGATCGACCCACGAACCTGGAAAAGGAAGTCAGAAACGCGAGGCATGGCGACGGTGTCAGGATATTTGATTGGGCGACAGGCAATTGTAGTTAATGCAGAGGGTGTCGATCAAACTGTACCGTGCCAAGGATTGTGCTGTACTGTGCTGTGCCGTGCTGAAACGAGATGTGCCATGCTGCAATAAAGTACGTCGTGCTCAATAGTGTTGTGGATCAAATCGCCCTGGGTATCAGAATCCTGAACGAACTGATCTGTATCTTGAGCTCGAGCTGCCTAAACGCATAGGTGGCCCAGAACTGGTTGCAGTCGAAACTTGTGTGGGACGCTTAGTCAGCTCGAGCTCAAGACCCGACTCAGGTGCGAAGCGGGACGAGACAACAATGGGTGCAAGGCGCAGGGACGCGCCCCGGACTGTGCCAGGGGCGCATTAGGGGATGCGCCAGGGGACGTGTCAGGGGACTTGGCAAGGGACGCGCCACGGAACGGGCAGGGAAAACGCCAGGGGACAAGCCAGGGAACTCGACAACGGACGATTCAGGGGACGCGCCGAGGGGGGAGGGGCATACGCGTCCCGCTCTGGGGCGTTAGGAACCCATGTGTTGTCACGCTTGTCCCGCCCTGGGGCGTTAGGAACTCATCTGTTTTCACGTGTCCAGGCCACCCAGGGGCGGAAACCTAACATGTGGTCGTGAAAACACGAGGTTCCAGCTCGGGGCAACCATGTTAGATACAGCCCTGAGTGGCCTGGAGACGTGAAAACACGTGGATTCAGCTCACACGTAAATCAAAAACATGGTTCCAGTTCGGAACCACGATGTTAGATACCTCCCTGGGTAGCTTGGGCACATGAACACACTTGGTTCCAGCGAGGGGCAAGAGTCAACTATCTTAGATACGCCCTTGGGCAGCCTGGACATGTCGAAACTATGTTTCCAACTCGGGACCACCATGTTCGATACCCTCTGGGTCGCCTGGAAACGTACAAACACGGGGTTCCAGCTCGGGACCACCACGTTAGATATTCCCCTGGGTGGCTTGGACACGTGCGAAGACATGATTCCAGCTCTGGATCACCTTGTCAGATGCCCATCTGGGTGCCCTGGACATGTGAAAACACGGGGTTCCAGCTCGGGACCACCATGTTAGATATTCCCCTGGGTTGCTTGGACACGTGCGAAGACATGATTCCAGCTGGGGATCACCTTGTCAGATGCCCATCTGGGTGCCGTGGACATGTGAAAACATATGGTTCTAGTTCGGGTGGCCTGGACACGGAGACACACGTGTTTCCAGTTCGGGGTTACCATGCTAGAGACGGAATCTGGAAAATCACACGCCGCAGAAACGGTGTCAAGTTTTTACACATATGGTGTCGCTTCATGCATTTCGTCTGGCTCTTGTGGGCCCCCTACACTGGGGCCGCCCAAACGACCACATGTCAAATACCTTTCCCCGTGGGTGGCCCGCAAACGTAAAACACGTGGTTCCAGCTCGGGCCCACCATTTTTTCGATACCCTTCTGGGTGGTCTGGACATGTAGCAATCTGTTCCCAGCTTGGGACCACAATTGTCGGTGCCCTTCTGGGTGGCTTGGAGCCGTAAAACACGTGGTTCCAGCTCGGAGCCACCATGTTAGATACCTTGTTGGGTGGCCTGGACACATGCAAACACGTGGTTCCAGCGAGGGGCAAGAGGCAGTCATCTTAGATACTCCCCCACTGGGCGGCCTGGACACGTAAAAATCATTGTTCCAGCTCGGGACCACACTGTTAGATATCCCTTTAGGGTGGCATGGCTACGGAATAACACGTGGTTCCAGCTCGGGACCACCATGTTAGATGCACCTCAGGGTGGCGAACACCACCCAAACCAGCAACTCAATTATACTTCAACTCTGGAGTTAAATCGTTTCAAGGTCTTCCAACATTACCAGCTTCGAAACGACTGACCTCTGGAGTCAAATGAGTCTACGGTTGGTGCTTTTCTCGGCCCCCAGATTGACTTAATTCTGGAGTTCAGTCATTCCCTCGGCCGCCCTTGTCCCTCCACCGGCGGGGAAAAGGAAGCAAACATAAAGAAGGATAAGGAAACGATACGGAAAATAACACGGAAGGAACCGCGAGGGAAACGGGATACAACGGGAAGGAAACGGGAAGGAACGAGAGGGAAACAGGAGGAAAACGAGAGGGAAAAGGGAGGGGAACGGAAGGAAACGAGAGGGAGACCGAAGGGAAACGGAAAGAAACGATAGGAGAAAGGAAGGGCAACGGTTGGAAAAGGAAGGGCAACGGAAGGAAAAGGGAGGGAAGCAGAAGGAAGCGAGAGGGAAAAGGGATGGAAACGGAAGGAAACGAGACGGAACAGGAAGGGCGACGGAAGGAAACGAGAGGGAAAAGGAAGGGGCACGACGGAAGGAAATGAGAGGGAAAAGGAAAGGAAACGGAAGGACGTGAGAGGGAGAAGGACACGGAAGGTAAAGGGAAGTACGCGGAAGTAACAGAGAGGGAAATGGATACATAAGGAAAAGAGAGGGACAAATGACCTGGCAAGAAAAGGGAAGGACACGGAAAGAAACGAGAGGAAAAAGGACACGGATGGAGAAGAGGATGAAACACAAGTAAATGAAAGGGAATAGGATATGGAAGGACAATGGGAGGGGGAGGAGGAGGAGGAACAGGAGGAAGAGGAGGAGGAGGAGTAGGAGCAGGAGGAGGAAGAGGAGGAGGAGGAGGAGGGAGGAGGAGGAGGAGGGGGAATTGGGAGGAGGAAGAGGGAGGAGGCGGAGGGGGGGATGGGAGGGGATGGGAGGGGAAATGGGAAGACTGCTGGAGCAGGGCGCCCGAGGCCCCACCTGGGCGCTCCACCAGCGCATCGACTGGGCGACGGCCGTCGCGCTGCACGCGGTGCCGCGGGCCCGAGAGGCGGCCGGGGAGCACAGTGAGGGAGTTTCGGGGCGGCGGGGTGGATGTGGGGAGGGGTGGGGAGTTGGAGGGAGGGAGGGGGGAATCGGGAGGGGGAGTTGGAGGGCAGGGAGTTGGAGGGGGGGAGTTGGATGGGGGGAAGTTGGAGAGGGAACTGGGAGGGGGGGAATGAGGTGGATGTGGGGAGGGAGGGGGAGGAGTTGGATGGCAGAGGAACTGGGATGGGGGAGTTGGGCGTGGAGAGGGGAGCGGTCGGCGGGGGGAATGAGGAGGCTGGGGGAGTCGGGGAGGGAAAGGGGGCGTGAGGGCGGGAGGCAAAGGCGATGAAGCGGGGGGGGGGGGGGGGGCGAGGGGAAGGCGAGGGGGGAGGAGGAGGGCGAGGGGGATGAAGGCGAGGGGGGAGGGGGTGGGGGGGTTGGGGAGGTAAAGGGGGCGTGAGGGCGGGAGGGGGAGGCGATGGAGGAGGGGGGGGGCGGCGCGCCGCGGTGAGCGCGATGGCGCTGGGGGCAATCGCCGTCGCGGTGGGCGCGATGGAGAGGTGCGAGTGAACTCCCTGCCTTTCCTATCCTTTCCTGTTCCCGTTGCCCCCCTCGCGTTGTTTGAAAATTACACCAGAGAAAAACCCCAATCAGTGGATGGTTTTCGCTGAGGAGGTCGATCTGGAACCCGGGAGCCCGGGAACCCAGAACTCACCGAAATCGGCCGGGAACCGATAACCGGGAACCCGGGAACCCAGAACCGGGAACCCGGGAACCCAGCATGCTACCAAAATCGGCGGGAAACTTTCGCCAAATCTTTCAACTTCCGTTAGGACCCCTTCAGCGCAAGCACTGATTGGGGAACATGACCGACCAGGGGGCCGTAGCAGAAGCGAGTCAGGATTTCACAGGGGGCGATCTTACAAGGTGTCGGGCCCAGGGGCCCTGACGGATCGATCCGGCTCGAAGCATCATCGAGCCACGAGCCGGAAAAAGGAATTCAGACACGCGAGGCATGGCTACGTGTCAAGACACCCGGTTGGGCGACAGGCTCCCCCGCCCCACCTGAGCACTGAGCTCACGCGGAGTGGAGAGGGGAAGCCGCGCCGCCCAGAAGTCGGCATCACAGTCGGTTCTCGCCGCGGGCGCCTCGAGTCGAAGAAGAACCTGATCGACCCACGAACCCGGAAAAGGAAGTCAGAAACGCGAGGCATGTCTACGGTGTCAAGATATTTGATTGGGCGACAGGCAAGTGTAATGCAGAGCGTATCGATCGTGCTATGCCGTGCCAAGGATTGTGCTGTGCTGTGCCGTGTTGAAACGAGTGTGCCATGCCGCGATGACTTGCGATGTGCTGAAGAGTGTTGCGGGTCAAGCCATCATGGGCATCCGGATCCTGACCGAACTGATCTGGATCTTCAGCTCGCGCTACCTGAGTGCATTGCTGGCCCAGAGCTGGTTGCAGCCGAAACGTGTGGGACGCTCAATCAGCTCGAGCTCAAGATCCGATTCAGTTCCGAAGCGGGACGAGATGACACGGGGCGCAGGGCGCAGGGACTCGCCACGGAATGTGCCAGGGCGCATTCGAGGATGCGCCAGGGGACGTGTCAGGGAACGTGGCAAGGGGCGCGCCACGGAACGGGCAGGGAACACGCCAGGGGACAAACCACAGAACGCGACAGAGGACGAGCCAGGGAACGCGCCGAGGGGGAGGGGCATACGCCGTCCCGCTCTGGGACGTTAGGGACCATGCGTTTTCACGCTTGTCCCGCTCTTGGGCGTTAGGAACCCATGCGTTTTCACGCTTGGTCTGCTCTGGGCGTTCGCAGTCCATGTGCTTTCACACTTGTCCTGCCCTGGGACGTTAAGAACCCAAACGTGTTCACGTTAGTCCTGGTCTGGGATGGTAGGGATCCAAGTGTTTTAATTTGCCCGCCCTGGGGCGTTAGGGACGCAAGTGCTTTCACGCTTGTCCCGCTCTGGGGCGTTAGGAACTGGTGTGATTTTACGCTTGTCCCGCTGTGGCGCGTTAGGAAGCCATGTGTTTTCACGCTTGCTCCGCCCTGAGGCGTTAGAAACCCATGTGTGTTGCCGGCTTGTCTCGCCCTGGAGCGTTGGGAACCAAGGCGTTTTCACGCTTGTCCTGAGTTAGGGCGGTAGGAATCCATGTGTTTGCACGCTTGTCCCATTCTGATACGTTGGAAGCCCATGTGTAGTTCACGCTTGTCCCGCCCTGGGGCGTTGGGAACCCACGCGTTGTCACGCTAGT